TGCATACCATTTTTGGTAGACCTCGCGTGAAAATGTGGCGGTCGATGACAATTCGTCACGACAGAGTGCAGCCAGCATTGATAAAGCTGCAATACTGAGAGCGTTCCTGTAGGCTTACGCTCACCTACGTACTATGTACGTGCGTATGGCTTTCACCAGGAACATCCCACCCGCCTCAAACTTGCTGCTGATGCTGCTATGCATACATACGAGACAAAATCTCCAAATCTACGCAGCATGGCTGCAACACGTGGTAACGTGTTCTCCTGTTCTTCTTCTTCACAACACAGGATCGAAGCTCTCAAGTTGTTGGAGTGGGCGGAACCCATCCGTTGCGTGTGCTATCGTAACATCAGCGACGTGGCCTTGAGGGGGGTTCTGTCTGACGGTGAGTAGATAGGGTTTACCCAAAAACTACCAAAGCCGGACGCAAGTCATTGGGGGGATTTATTTGTCGTTGTTCGCGTTGACTCAAAACTACAGTAGTAGTCTAGACCATAAATTTAGTATTTTATTTTTATTTTTTTTTGTTCTTCACTTCAAATCAGCGCTCACAGCACTAGTGCCGTTTATTCCAACCCGTGGTCACACAGAAGAGCTCACTCTACCCTCCCCTCCTGCGGTACTTCGCCTTCAATTTTTAATGCGAGAAGAGTTCAGCACTCTCTTCCCTCTGTGTACACACGAACTAGCGCTATCCACTTGGCCAGGAGCGGAAGCGAGAGAAAAACTCACTTTGCAAGAAAAGCTCGCCTACGCCGGGATTCGAACCCCTGACCTGACCTACCTCTAGAAGGTTACGAGGCTACCAACTAGACCACCGGGGCGTCCGGCATACATAGTATGTAGGCTACTTGCCCATGGCACCGCCGTGAGCGGCATGTATGGTGTTCCAGAAGACACTCAAACGTGTCGGAACCAATCTTCTTCTTGTAGATAACAACAGGCACTTCATTATAGTATTACACCATACCCACACTGAATGAAGTCTAGACGACACGATGTAGTGTCGTGTCGGCAAGAAATTGTCCTGTTTGTCCTTCGGTTTTAACTTCGCCTGAAATGTACCTACCGGCCCGCTCGGTGGGTTTAGTGCTTGGTCTAGTGGCGTCGAAACCGCCAGTGGCAAAGTCGATTGTTCGAATCCCCCATGGCGTGGAAAATGTACAGCTAGCTACTCCGCGGGTGAGAGCGATAAACTCCGACGTCAGGACCGTCTCCTCCAAATTGGCTGGCTGGGCCCCTTTCACGATAAAAACGAACATTCAACACGCACAGCCGGTCGCCCCGGTGGTCAAGTGGTAACTTTAAAACCGTTCGTCGCAGAGGTCGTGAGTTCGATTCCCCATCATGTGGAATAAGAACTAACTTGTGCGTGCGTGAGAACGAAATACAGGTCGAAGCCCCGTGAGTGAGTAGATATTACCAATTCTTCGACGTTAGCACCGTTGCTGTACCTTTCTCGCGACACAACACAAATAACTTAGAACGCACATGAAGACGGTAGGGCACGAACAATAAAAGTAGAACAAGAACAAACAAAGTTTGTATGTGGTATGTGATTTCCTCCGGTCTGTCTGTGTGAGTGTAGAGGTAAAAAAAATACACGGGTGATAAGTAACTGTAGCAACATGCACCGAACGAGAGTAACGTACGGAGTGGAGATACTTGGTCGGCGCGAACCCAGCACGGAACCCTCCGGCGTTGTAGGTGGGTGTGGGAATTGTTCTCCTTTTTGTTTAATTTGGTCGGTATTCTCGAGGCTCTCTTTCTCCCTCGATGCGGTAGCTGGTCTTTCTTTCTATCATTTTGTTTTCTCTGGAGTTCTTGTACCCCATTTTTTTTGTTTTGTTTTCTTTCGCGGTGTCGTGTGTGCCGGGTTTTGAGACGAGCTCCGCATTTTTTTGTGGGTTAGAGCTAATGTGAGAAAAACGACAACAAACAAAAAAAAACGTATCCCCACCAAGATTGGACGGTCGCTGTAATAAATAGGACGAAAACAACAACACATACATTAATATATTTATTTGCGGACCCCGCGGAGGTACGTGCGCCTCTCCGCTTCGAAGATTCGGCCCGAGCACTCACTATATTTTGGAGCGAAAGTCAGTCGGGAGGACGATTTCGAATTTGTGGGTATGTTTCTCCTTCGTTCGTGAAACACATCCTCCTCCTCCAGAAGAAGAATCGTTACCGCTGAGCGGCGCGAAGCATGTGCGTCATCCTCCCCTTCGTTGACTATTTTCTCTCGTGTCCTTCGTTCGGTCTGTAATCGTTTGTCGTAATCTTTCAGACTCCTTGAGGCAGGTGGAGATGAAACTCACCCTCGAACAGCATGGCTTGGTCGTGGAGTACGGTTCCAGGGGAGGTGGCCTGGTGTCTCCGAAGAAGGCGCTGCATCTTGCAACCGGTGTCGATCACTTCCTCGTCGCACACAGGCAAGGCGACAACTTCACGTGCAACGAGAAGGTGATACCGCAAAAGTTCGATGGCATGCTGCGCACATCCGAGGGCAAGCACGACCCCAACACCGCCGCTGCATCGGTGACGACTGCGGTCCCTTACCTCGGGGCTAAGAAGCGCTTCTCCGACGACATCGCCGTCTGGGTGATTCAGCGGTAGGTGCATAATAGGAGACTTCCCTCCGTGCTTTTTTCCTCTGTTCAAGCCCGGAGTAAAGTGCAATGCTGTCAAGCTTTTATTGGCGTTCGAATCATGGGTGACCTAGAATAGTTACAGGGCAGGGAATGTTGACGCCGACGCAAGAGTAGTACCACTTCCGAGACAAGTGTCAGGCTGCGTCACCTTATTTTTTCTTGTTTTTCGGCGACTGTGATGCACCGGCAAACACAGCTGCTCCAAACGTATCCTACGTGCTCAAAACACGCGCTGTCTGTCTGTCTTTTGCCGCTGCCCCCTCATTCAGGTTAACTAGTTACGAGACACCGTGGCGACGTTGACCGCTGACGAGGACGGGGTCGTAGACGCGGCGCTTAGGTACGGCCGGCGGGCCGAGGCATTCCTTCAGGGTGGAGATTAAACCGAAGAAACGGTCCGCAAATGCTTGGACGACGCCTTCCTAGAAAGCTGGAGACTGCAACATATTCGAGTGAGTGCCGATGCCGCTGATCGTCTGCCAGCCCATTTATATGTGTACTGTTGTGTGTTGCGTTTCCTTCCAATATGGGCGCCGGATCATATGTGTGATATGCTTCCAAACGATGCCACTAGGTATGTTCATCCGTACTCTTTGGTGTCTAACCCATTCATGCACGCGTGCCTTTACCTTTGCCCTTCTTCGCACTATGAACTTCGTCCCGACCCGATTGTTTTGTTGACAAGCACGAATCGGAGGCAGGGGAACTCCGCCGGATCAAGACGGGCACTCTACCGACCGGTCTTCCCGAGGACACGACCCCGGCGGCTGTATCCGGCATGATCAAACAAGCTGCAATGCGACGATCGTTCTTTCGTGGTCAGACAGCTTTGTTGCTCGCCTCCGCGCGGCTGTACTCAGGGGCTCGTTTGTTACGATCAGCAACTTTTTTTTTTTCGTTTTTTTGCCGCGCTTCGTATTACGGAGGGGGGAGGGGGGGGG